AAAATCCAGCTGAATGGTACAAGCATACCAATAAAGTTCAACAAGAGATAAATTCAACCTATCAAAGAAGCATAGACACTACTCCATTCGAATTGCTTTTTGGGACAAAAATGAACACTAATGGACTGGGAAAACTAAAGGAAATGATCGAAAGTGAATTTCAGTCTCGTTTTGATGCTCAAAGAGAGGAATTAAGAAAAAACGCAAAGCAACAAATTTTTAAAATTCAACAAGAAAATAAAAAAACCTATAATTTAAGAAGAAAGGAGCCAAAATCGTACGAAATTGGAAATTTGGTCGCCATCAAAAGTGCCCAATTTGGACCTCATTTGAAGCTAAAACCTAAGTACCTTGGCCCCTACAAAATAACAAGAGTGAAAGGAAGAAATACCTATGATGTAGTAAAAGAAGGGAATCACGAAGGACCAAACGACCTTGACAACCTGTGCGGAGTATCTTAAACCATGGAACAGTTGCCAAAAAGAATTTTAGTGAAAGAATTTAAAGACGAAAGACGTGAAAGAAGACGAAAGAATTTAAAGACGAAAGACGTGAAAGAAGACGAAAGACGTGAAAGAAGACGAAAGAATTGAAAGACGAAAGACGTGAAAGAAGAAGAAAGAATTTAAAGACGGAAGACAAAAGAATTTAAAGACGAAAGAATTTAAAGAGGTGGAAGAAGTTCAAGACGAAAAATGTTGAAGATGAAAGACGTTAGAGAAAAAAAAGATGAAAGACTTTAAAGAAAAAAGACGAAAGACGTTGAAAAGAAAAGAAGACGAAGCCGTTGAAGAAGAGACAAAAGACGTGCAAAGATGGAAGAGTGAACGTGCCTGAATTGATACACTCTTACCTAGCGTTATTAACCTAAAACATTTAATTCTCAGATATCAATTATATTTTTCAGTCTGCTCTGCTTTTTCTTTTTTTCTTTATAGAGTCGCTGGAGGACCAAGCGAAACGCAGGAGGGCCGAATCTATGGTGCCAGCTCCTGTACACAAAGCTGTAACCTAATCTCAGTCCTCAAATCCGTAAGCTAGAAGTCCCGCCTGTCAATGTTAGCCGTAAGCTGATCCCTGTGCACGACGAATATATATATATATTCAAGTTTTTAATTTCTATTTATTAAATTTGCTTGTAAGCATGCTGTTCCGTAACAGAGAGAGTAGACTATTTGAAACCAGCATCCCTAAATTGTCCTTAAATTTTAAGAACATTTGGTTCTTAAATTTCATTTTTTGGATATCCAGGATAATCTAGGTGTTGTGTATGTATTTTTAAAAAGTATAAGTTTGGGTGCTTGTATATGCATTTTCAGAATTCCTCAGTATTTCTTTTTTTACTATTACGATAAAAAAAGGATACAAACTGTGGTTAAAATAAACTTTTAAAATTACAAACTGTGGTTAAAATAAACTTTTAAAATTACATCTGGCTGAATCATTTTGACAGCTAAGGAAAAATATTTAGGTGTCATTGATGCCTGAATGCCACATTCTAATTTCTAACCCAAGTACACACTCAGAGCGACAATTTATTATGTGAGAGCAGTTTTGATGTAGTTAAGTCAAAGAAGGCATATTCGACAGACGGAAGTGCAAAAACAATTTATTAAAAAACTTTTTACTCCATGATGGTAAACAATCATGGTTATAGGATTTAAACAAGCAAACCAATAATGATCAAATTGAGCCAAACTTCCATGTAGAAACTCTATTTACATTAAATTAAAAGTTTTATCTAGAAATTCATGGTGAAGAATACTTAAAATTATTAAAATTATTTTCACAGAAATTTGATAATGGAATTTAATCTAAAATAATTATAATAAAACTATGTTCTGAAAAGTATAAGAAATAGAATTAAGTAGAGTAAGCAGTGTTATTTTAAATAAAAAGTTTGGCAGCCATAATATCCTAGTCAATACTTTTAATAAAATCTTCTAAATTTTGTGCACTAAAAGATGCCGAAAGGAAGATATAGTATAAAGTAAAAATATGTTTTTCAATTAAAAACAGCTTGTTAGTTAAATAAAATTGCATAAATTGGCAATATTTATATGTTGCATTAAATGCAATTAAAATTTCTATTTTTTTAAGCTTTTCAATAACCTTACCATCAAATTCATCAATCATTTTGTTGCATTTTTAACAAAGAATTTTAGTGTGCTATTTCGTGACCTCTTCATTTTATTCAATATCTATCTAAAAGAAATTTGTTGGGCAAAAAGGTTGCATTCTCTTTCTGTTTAAATGTATATACAGATAAAACAATAATTTTCACTCAAAATATAGTTAATTAAATTTAGTTTCTTATAAGAAAGCAACTTAAGCAAATTGTACTTTCATGGTTTAAAAATATTTACTTAATTGGAGTTTGATACATGGAAATTTGACTAAATATATGTTTCACTGAAAAGAAATCCTAAATATAAGAATGTTGAATATAAACATTGTTATAATGTGGAGCACTTTTACCAGTTTCGTTATTTTAGAAAAGAAAAGATAAGAAATTAAAAGAAAAAGTAAAAGTGAAATTATCAAGACATAAGTTAATAAAATTGTAAAATATATTATTTTCAGGAAAAATTAAGTTTGAACCCCGACACTGTAAAAGCAAATGAAATTATTTATTCAAAAATATTATCTATATTTCTTTCCTCTTCAAAAGATATTTTTCATTCCTAAATATAGACTTCAAAAGTTTTATAAATATAGACTTCAAAAGACAGAAAAGTTTTCTTCAGGCCTTAAGCCAAAGACGTTAAAATCATTTCAATACAAAAAAGTGACATGCTTTAGTTTTAATAGTATTAATATTTGGCATTATGATTTTCTTATTATAATAAAAGAGATAACATAAATTTCAAGAGTTCATTCTAAATTTAAAGAGTATAACAAAAATCAAATAATAAATTTTCTATCAATTGTAGAACAATTTATATCAGTATGTTTAGTTTCAAAATTAGTACCTGCAGCTGTGATTTCATCTTCAATACCATATTCTGATGCTCCATCACAGATGGGATCGTAGTAATAATTATTCCATTTTGGACTTGAAACTGCTGCTATTACTGCACCCTTAAAATACATTAAAATATAATATATCAAAAGAAAGGATCATTTTAAAATTTAAGAGCACAAAATCTAAAGAACAATACATCAATAATTTTTAAATGTCAATTATTTGACAAAATTAATTAAAAATATATAGAAACAAGGTATATAATTTATCTACTAAACTAAACTCAGTGGCACAACAGCCTATAGAGGGTCAAGGCCTACGGTGTCCATCTCAGTTTTCTTGACCTTTGGGCTCTGGGGTGCAACAGCAGATGTTCCGATTGGATGGTCAGCCCAACGCGGAACCCCCAGTGTTTAGTTCCCAAACATGCTTGGTACTCATTTTATCGACCCACGGAACGGATGAAAGGCTGAATCTTGCCCCGCCCTTATATAACTTATCACAAAAGAAAATTTTTAATATTTCAAGATACAAAAATTTAGAGATTAAGAAAAATGAAATTTCACAGCTAAAATATTTCTTCATGGTACAGTAGTTTATTGAATACATTAAAAAAGATGAATACTTTTTCATATTATTCAAAAGATTGAGAAAATAGATAAAAACAAAATGCTAATTCAATCAAATGAAATAATTACTTATCTTCCCTTAACAAAAAAGTAAATTTGATATAATTTATGAAAAATGGGAAAAATATTTTTTAAAAAGAATGTTTCAAAACAATGAATATTACTTTGGTATGACATTATATTTTATGTGGTACGTTTTATATAAAATTTACAGTAAGATAGTACAACTCATGAGGTCTGAAATACAGCTCTACCAATAGTCAATGTATGGTCCCTACCTAGTAGCGAAAATCTCTATAACTGGTATAAACATTTTATAATTATTTTTCAAACATATTTCAATAAAATTTGAAAAACCACTGATATGTTCTAAATTAAGCAGTACTAATTCAAGGAGTCAAAAGATTTAAATCTTACAACATTTGGATTTTTCTTAATAAAATTTTCTTTAGCTAAAACATACTCAAAATAAATTTAGTTCAAAGATTTCTTAAAAAATTTAAGATGCAAGTAATTAACATACAGCAAAAAATGTAAATTTAAAATTTTTGGTTAAAAATTTAATTTTCTTTTTAATGAAAATAAAATGTGCAAAACCTTCATTGTTTTGAATTTTCGTTTGAAAATATTATTCATAGACTTAGTGAATATATAACAATTTATATACACAAAGACAAATTTATCTTGTTATTATTATAATGTTAATAATTAAGTTAGTATAAACTGATATAAAAACTAAAGCCCTTGAAATTGGAGTGTCTGAAAGTGGAACTTTTTTTTCAAAGAGGTTGTGCAAAACTAATTTTCAGAGTTATAGATTTTTATCTGCATAACATATGAGTTTGAGTAGCAAGAACATAAATTCCACTCTCTCACTGTTACAAATGTCTGATATTTATATATAAATAATGTTTTCTTGTCAGGTAAAATTTAAATTACCAATAACTGCTACATTTAAATAATCTACACTGTGCAAGAAAAAGCATTTGTTTCAGTTTTGAAATTCTTTATTAGTAAAAACGGTTGCAATGTTGCATATAATCAATGCTTTATGCAATCTATACCAACAAAAGTTTCAATGTCAAATTAAAAATTAAAGAAAATTGTATGAAACATACAAATATTATTTTATTAAGACCTTTAAAATTTAAAGATGTTCACTATCCATACATACTTTAAGTTTTCTTCTAGCATTAAATCGTTTAAGCTCATCTACACTATGGGATAGGTGTCGTTTTGGAGCACATCTTTCACGACCCTGGCAATAAAAAATTTACAATACAATTATTTTTAAAAAAATCATTAAGAAATTCAAATTTATAAACTTAGTGAAAATAATTCATTTTCAAATAAAAAGTTAAAAAAAATGTTTAGAAACATGAATATTAATGATAATTGTTTAATAAAATCATCGATTTAATTCAATAAAACTTAAAATTATAAAAATAAAATTTCTTTCATTGAGATTGTATTAGAAAAATGATTTCTTAGAAGAAAATATTAAGTTTTTTTTTTCATAGTAGCTAAATTAATATAACAGGCATATAGTAACTAAATTAATATAACAGGCATACAGTAACTAAATTAAATAACATTAATTAATAATTGTTCTATTCTTTTCTTTTTTACACAATCAAATATCAGTTTTAAAATAGTTTGTTTGAAAACAAGGAAATCAATACAAAACTTTGTTTATTAATTTGCTTGCTTTTTTGAATACTCTCATTCATATGATGATGAAGATGCCATTTCATGAGTTTCAAAATGATGACAAACATTTTTACAAATAAATTTCATGCAAACAATACAAAATGGGAGATTTTAACTTTAATTTTCAAACATATGCTTGCTTAACTTAAGGCATTATTAAAATTTTTCTAAGCATCAATAAAACATTCATTCTTTTTAATTTTCTGCTGCATTACTTTCCTAAAACTGGCAAAACTAATGAAAAAGATAAGTTTTATCATATTCAGTTTTAAAATAGATTTGACTCACTGAATGTTGACCATGTTTTTGTTGAAATTAAACACTTTTTGTAGTTAAAATTAAAAAATGATCACATACTTAGTTCTAAAAGCAGTAGAAACAGTAGCTAATAGAAATTGAATTTGTAATTTACACTTTACTAGGCAGTACTCTTTATTTTTTAACCTTCCAATAACAAAAAAATTATATATTTGAAGAGCTCAATGGAACAACATATTAAAAATACTTAAATTTTTGCCACTTAGCTCTTCATTTAATACCTTTATCCACCAATGTTGTAGTGCTTCTTCAACTGTTATTCTGTACATAGGGTCAACAGTGAGCATTCTACGTATCATATCTTTGGCAAAGTCACTGATGGTATCCCAGTGCCTCCCAGCAAGCTGAAAAAATAAAATCATTCAATACTAACTCATACCCATACATAAGCTCAGTTATTTTCAAAATTTAACCTATTAAAAAATTAAAATTTTAATTAATATAATTTAAATAAAGAAAACATTTTTTGGCACCAAAGTAAAATTTAAAAATTTCTTACCCTTTTCCAAAGCTTACATAAAATTATCCAAGTATATAGAAAATTATCCAAGTATATAGAAAATTATCCAAGTATATAGAAAATATATATTTCTTAATAAAAACAATTGATACAATGAAAATTTCATTGACAAAAAAATTTAGTAATAATAAAAGGCACAAGTTTAATTTTATACTATGAAAAAACATAATATGCATTTAAATTTATTAAATATAATATTTTTTTAAAAGTTTGATTAACAATTTTTTTTACAAATAAATTACATGAATAGTTGTATATTATGAAAAAATTGTACACATTTTTCCCTCCTATGTACTATTCTTTTATTTAAAGACTTACCAACCAACCAAAGCAAAAATTCTGGCGAATGTAAGAAAAAGTGAGCTGCTAGAGGAAAATATGAGTTTTTGATATTAAAAAGGTTACTGTTGGTGGGAGGGGAGCAAGAACAGAAGTCTCCCAATTGGAGGAAAAACCTTGCTCCTTTTTTTAATGAAAGTAGGTTTTAGTAGCAAATTTCTGAAAACACCTTTTAACGCAGTTAAGTGAAATTTTTACATTTTAGTGCTACATGTGCAGCCCCTTAACCCCACACATACCCTTAACTCCACACAGTAATGATAAAAATAATTTTATAATAAATGTATTAAACTAAGAATCAAATATTGAAAGACTAATTTTTTTATCACTAGGAAATATCTTCTCTAAAAAGTGTATAAGTCAGCAACTATGACTAACACTTAGTAGGTTAATACTATGAATTAGACATTTTTTTTTCCTTTTTTGAATACAACTGTAGCTGAAATAAAAGTAACAAATTTTGATTTGTTCAAGCCACATGTATACAATATGATTTAATTTTAAAATGTCAGACAAAATTTTATAGTTGGTTAAAACATTACACAATTTAGCTTATTTAGAGATAAATAATCTACCAAACCTGAATAAGTTAATAAAATTATTTTCTAAGTGTGCATCAAAGAAATTACCGTAAAATACTGATAAAACGCCAAGACTTGATAAGGGCATTCCTGCAGTTTCACACAATCAGTATAAAAAAAGCACCCTTTTCCCTACTACACAATTTAAAAGTTATTTTTGTTTGGCAACTTCTTTATGAATTTAGTTCTAAAAAATAGTTATCCTGATGTTTAGGGTAGAGGATTTCATTCTATTTCATAACTGTTGTTGAACAGCCAACCCAATTTTGAGTTTATGGTTACCAATGTTCAACTCCATAGTCTTGTTTTGAACACAATCCAGAAGACAAGGGAAATCCTGGATCACGTATTGGGGGAAAATTGCCTTTGTGGAAGACTTTTTGATGGAACTAACATGCATTTGCGTTACATGGAAAGGAAAATCACAGAAACATCCCACGGTTACCCTGATGGGAAGGGGACTCTGCCTAGCACTGAGGATATTTTACGTCAGTACTGTGGTTGATGCGATCCGGGTGCAGAATTTGTATCGATCAGCCATCGCTCAGATTCGAACCTGGTTCACATCATTGGAAGGCGAACGCTCTAACCCCAGAGTAACCATGGCTCTACGGTAGAGGATTAATCTTATGCCATAAACGAGCAACGAGTAAGGGCAGGGACAGAAGAGAGGGCGGGCAAATGCCCGAAGCACCAGATTATGAGGGTACCAAACAAGACACAGATTTAATATTCACTAAATTATTGATTTCCCCCCTTTTTAAAATATTGTTTGTTTCAAGAATATATTTATAGCTTTTTATTTTTTAATTATATATTCTTAGATTAACTTTTTACGATTAAAAGTTCTCTAGTTAAAAGTTTTATTTAAACTTCATGCCAATATACCTAAGAAGGAAATGCAAGACAAAAACAGAGGGAGGAGGGACCTTAGAATGACCATGTGGATATGGTCTCTTAGCATTTCATCCTAGATTCAATTTTTTTCAATTTAATAATTTCATGTCAATTTTCTGAAAATAGGCAGGATTTTTTTAATGAAACATCACTTCGGAATTTAGGTAAGCAATCAGGACAATTTTTCGGTCTTACTTTAATAATATTTAATCAAAGATAAGAAAATTGAAAATAAATTTTGTTTCAACGCTATGTCATATTTGGCCTTTATTTTTTTTTTTTTTTAATATAAAATCTTGAAAAACACCTCAGAAATTGAATTCTAAAAAACTCTGAAATTTCAAATTCAATTTCAAAGGAAATAGCCAATCAATTTCGTTCAAATATTGTATTTTGCCTTAAAAATTACATTCTTTAAAATGAGGTAAAAATTTATGAACCTCACCATTCAAAATTACTTTGACTATTACAGTGTTTTCACTACAGCGCGAGAAAGCGCGAATCTCGCATATTTTTTCTTTTCTCGCACTAAAAAATTATTACCGCGAGAAATTTGCGCATTCTATAAATCTATTTCCAAATCGCGAATTTCTCACATTTTGGAAAAAGCTTCGCATTACGCTATTTAGAATAAAATCTGTTTCACTTTTCTTCCTGGATCTTTCATTATTTTCAACATCTGCCCAGTTTTATCTAGCTTCCCTATTTACCAGTATTGTTTAGAACCTTTTCGAACAACAGAACACTACCCTTCCGAACCAAGGAACCCCTTTCAGAACACATTTCTCTGCAACCAAGTGCTTACCATAAGTAAGGTTTCCTCATGTAAGACGATCAAATTTTTTATGCACAAATGTAAGACGGACAAATACCTTGTAAAAGTAAAATCTTCTATGATGATGCAGCAAAAATATTCAATGCTTTAAAAAATAGAAGACGTTAAAAATTTATTATAAGTTATAATTTATAATTTAAGAAATGTTTTTTTTTCAAGTCTATTCGTGTTTTTTTAATTTTTAGAAATCTCACTGAACTTTTTGAAATCTCATCCTGTTTTTGAGAAACCCATTTCCCATCACCCATTTCACCCATGTTGTTGTTCACCCAATTTTAGTCTATGATGAAAACACTGCTATTATTAAATTAAATGATAAAAAAGTATAAATTTTTTTTGTATGTCATTATCGTTAGAATAATGAATTTTATAATTGTGCGCAAAAGTTTTTTTTAATTCGTTACAAAAGTCCACAAACTGAAAAAAGGCCTGAAATCTTTCTCAAAAATCGAAAATAATGGACACTGATATAGTTTTAATTCTGGCAGGGTGTGCAAGTCTACTGCAATGAGCAGATATTTTGTGGATGACACCCCTTAAAAGTGCATTAAGAAGAGAATATAGATAAATTAGGAAAAAACAAAAGACCCATACCAGGAGTTTTAAAAAGCCAACTCGGCAAGATGTGATTGGTTTTGCGCCAGGAGCTTGAAAGGACAATCTCAAACACTTTTGCGCATTGTGGCATTTCCAGTGTTAGATGGAAACAAAGATGGACTTCTTCATTCTCGATTAGCGGAACTAAATGTAGGATTAGTAGACAATGATATTACTGATGAACTAAGCGAAGAGCGCATTGACTTTATTTTGAATATGACTTTGATATTTCTTTCAAAGAACTTTTGGATTCTGTATAATGTAAATAAATAAAATATTTTTCTTTTTATGAAATATTTTGTCGTCTATATTTTTTATTTTATCACTGAATTTTTTGTTTTTCCCCTATTTGTATACCTCTGTATAAGGAAAGTTAGATTTAATAATTAAAGTTTTTTTTTAGTTCCTTATGCTATAATTATATTTACTTAATTTTATTTTTTTGTGATTCATATTTAATTGTGCCTAATCAAACATAGTCGATTTTTTTCTAAAATGCATTGTTTCTTCAGTACTGTTTATTCGCCCCCTCCACATACTGTTGATGTTCGTCAAAATTAGGGTTGCACTTTATCGGTATTTTACGGTAACTCATTCAAAGTAGCAAAAACAAAGTTTATTAAGTGACTAACATTTGATTTAATTACACACTACAGCTGTTGCTGAATAATTTTTTCACCATTATGAAACAAAAACCTGAGACTCATTAAAGTGCAATTACAATCTTTGAAACAAGTATCACAACATAGCTTGAATATTAATGAACAAGTTTAAAAACAAGAATGTATAGCCATTAAAATAAAAAAGAATATTATAATTAAGTAAGAATAATAAATGGGAAAAAGCACCTAATACAAATAAAAAGTTACAGAAAATAAAATCGCTGTTAAAAATTATAGTGCAACTGAAGAGTAAAAAATTGCTATATAGCTAAATAAAAACCAATTATTCAGAAAAAGACAAAAACAAAAGACAAAGTAAAATAGGATAGGAACTAGCCATTTAGGGAAGCAGTCTTCCCACTTGGCCCATACATTAAGTCGTCCAGTGCAAATATTCTGGAAAAGTCGCTCTTTGGTCCCCATAAAAGGTAATGTTCCACTGAGCAATGTATAGAGCAAGACACCACAACTCCAAATATCTGCAGGCTTTCCATATGATTGCCTTTGGACAACTTCTGGTGCCATGAAATGAGGTGTACCAACTCGACCTAAAGTATAGCACAATAAACAAAATTAAATAACATAAATATCTATTCATATACTTATTACTCACATCATTTAACTATTCAGAAATGCCTAACCAAATTTGAACCAAATCAGAATTGAAATCCCTTTAAGGGATACATTTAAAATGGTGGAAAAACATTAAAAAAACTATTGATTTACATCCATTTGTCAGGATAAATTTATTACATATTTACAATCATTTTTCCTATTTAATTTGCCATGCTAATCTGAGTCCTAAGTATCTAAGTATTGCCAATAAATACAACCTTAGCAGTTATTCCATTTATGTGTTGTAGCACATAAAATATGCAAAACATTGTAGAGGGGACACTTCAAGGGGAAAAATAAGTAAAAAATTGATGTGTAGTTGATTTATGTCAGCAAAATTAAAATTTAACCAAGCCTTTTTTTTCTTCTTTTTTTTTTGCATTTGGTGACAGAGAGAAAGAATGAAAATAATTCTGAGTCTCACATTTTCAAATTTATAAATTCTTTGTTTTTTCTATTAATAGAATGAACCTTATTAATAAAGGGATAATGAGTTAGAGAATTTAATATCTATATTTAATATCACACATCACTGTTTATCTTTACTTATTTCAATGTTAGAGTTCTTTACCTCACTTTTGCTACTTTTGTTTTATTATTTTGAAGCATCATTGGAAGTGCAAATTAAATTTATTTAACATAAAATTTTGTAATTTTCGAAAATTTAGAATGGTTTAAAAATTTTATTAAATCATTTTTAAATTCTTTTGCATTCAATTTTCAGAGATATTTGTTTTATACTACCTTTAGCAAAATGTTATTTTAAATATAATCAGCATAATGAATTAATACATATAAAAAAAAGTGTGCCTTATTATACCAAAATATTTTTTGAATTAGGAGAAATATGTCCAAAAAAAAAACAAGTTATCAATTGTAGTCCTAAATAAGAATTAAAATCTTTACAATTTCCAACAGTCTCTTGTCACAACTTTTCAAATGTTTCCTAGTCGTGACCACCCTAATATGGAACACCAAGCATAAATTTGTTTCATTGTGCTCAACTTTACAATAAAAATTTAGACACAAATATTTTTATCTTATTTTATGGAACAAATTGCATAGAGAGCTCAAGACAAAATAAGAGATTATTTTTATAGACTTGTTTTTAATAAAGTAATAAAATATCAATTAATGTAGATTTTAATTCTTAGATTTTACTTGCCTGGATTTACTAACTGGTTACTAGAAAGCTGCACTGCAACTCCAAATCCTCCTAGTTTAACAGGAGCTGAGTTTTCTTTTGTAGCAATAAGGACACTCTGTGGTTTAATATCACGATGAATTATATCATTACTGTGGCAGTAACAAACAGCTTCTAATATTTGGCGAAGATAATGGCTGTAAAAATAAATTTGAATTAAATATTTCTAACACATCTAGAACTAACTCGACATATCACTCAAATATAAAAATATTTTGGATAATTCTATATAGAATGAAAAAAGAAAAAGCATTTTTATGAATTTCAATTCACCATACCTAGCAACTGCTTCACTATATACAAATCCAGCAACAGCACGCTTTACAATTTCAAAACATAAATCAGAACCCTCCATACTGAAATAAAAAATTTTAAGAATGATTTAGTTGAATAATCAAACCAAAGAATCAGAGAACATTTTTGTAGTAATTCAAAATCGAGAACATCACAAAAGAAATAATTTTAGCAAGAAAAAATAATGACATAAATCTATTTTAAATTTTAGAAGAAGTTTTGTTAACAGATTTTTTTATCAAAATTTTATTTCTTTTTTTTTTATTATTGTGTAAAATATTTGATTGTGACAGAAAAAAAAGAATACAGCTTATTTTATCAATTTATCTATTTTTAATTTTATAGAAAAGAAAAAAAATCAATTGCAAAAATATGACATAGGGCTAAAAAAATGGGCTTTAATTTATTAAAAACTTATGCTAAGGAGCATTATTATCATGTGTATTGATAATTATGTTTTCAATATCATTTAACAGTTTTATCATTTACAAACTTTGTGAAAAAGGAAATTATAAAACCTGCACAGTAAAAACTCGCAAATTTATATTGAAGTAAAATGTGTACAAAAGTAACATGTGGGATTAAAATCAACAAAGGGTTAAAATTAACTGTGGGTAGTTCCTTAAAAAAGGCATAAAATTTACTCCGGGCAGTTCTTCCTATTTCAAACAACAATCAAATTTAGTTTGCTACAATTTATATTATTGAATTTTTTTTCTTCAAGCTATCAAAATTTGAACAATATTTAACTCTTATACTTATTTCTGGAGAAATTTCTTTGTTAGTGTGACGGGTATATAATTAAAGAATATCCAAATTGAAAGTTAAAGTTACATTTTATTTATTACTAATCATTATACATATCAATAAGGAGAAGGAGGACCACACTTACCCATAGCTGCTCGTATTGAGAGGCAATCGGACTGAGGAGACTATTGAGAGGCAATTCTCTTTCTTACCAACTCCTCTTTTTTTGGAGTTTATTTATATATATTATTTTAAGGGGTTAAACGTGGTCTCATGTTCTTATCATGCATCCGAAGGTCGACAAATCAATCATCTTGTGACAAATTTCTAGAAAGTTAAAAGTTCAACTGACCATTCGATTGCGAGATGAGAGCACGGGATCTTAATCAACTGTTTAATTAACAAGTTTGACCACGAGAATTGTCACGAGGCAACGTCGTGACAATATCAACTTTCTAGAAATTTGTCACAAGATGATTGATTTGTCGACCTTCGGATGCATGATAAGAACACGAGACCACGTTTAACCCCTTAAAATAATATATATAAATAAACTCCAAAAAAAGGGAGTGGGTCAGAAAGAGAATTGCCTCTCAATAGTCTCCTCAGTCCAATTGCCTCTCAATACGAGCAGCTATGGGTAAGTGTGGTCCTCCTTCTCCTTATTGATATGTATAATGATTAGTAATAAATAAAATGTAACTTTAACTTTCAATTTGGATATTCTTTAATTATATACCCGTCACATTAGCCTTAAATTAATTTATAGGGACATTTGATAATAAAACAATCGAAAATAAAAAATCTTGTCTTTAACTAAGATACTTAAATAAAAATAGCTTTTGAAAAGTTTTGAGACACGGTTAATAGAAAGATTTTTTTTGCACTTTAATAAACTAGTTAAATTTTCAATTTTTTTTTTAGCAAATTGAATAAAATTATTATAATTAATGATGATATACAATTTAAACATTGATATAAAAAGAAATTGCTCTAAAAAATACAATTCGGAATACAAGTTTGAATATATAAAGGCGGGAACATACCTTTGTTCCATTTTTATAAAATAGCCTTTAATAGAAGTTAAAGTATACTTAAAATACTTCAAAAAACTAAACTAAATTTTTCACTAAGAAAAGCTTATTTTGCATTTGTGACACTAATAAAATACTTATATAGTTATGTACATAAAATATTTTGCACTTACAATTCAAAAACCATATAAAGCATGCCTTCAGAACTATACGTTTCCAAAAGCTCTACAATATGGGGATGTTTCAACATATGACAAATTGTGGCTTCTCTTTTTAAATCTGCAATAATATATAAATACGAACTGAGAATGTACAGCGATCAAAACAAAATTAATACCATAAATAACTATATCATGCTTTTACGTCTAATAACTATCAAATAGCACAAATAACTTTTAAAATAAATACTGAATATTAACATACTAAGTACATGATTCCAAGATCCTACTTTGAATACCTTAATTAATTAGTGCTAACTATAATTTATGTTACAAAATCAAACTCATCAATATACTTTCCTGAATGAACTTAATTTCTTTCGGCAGACTCAGATTATTCAAAGCCATGTATATATGTATTATAATATACATATCATATATATTTCATATATACATACATACATACATACATACATACATACATACATGCATACATACATACATACATATACACTATCTGGCCAAAAGTATCCAGACACGGTTATGGTGGTGGTGGATGCATAATGGTGTGAGGGTGTTTCTCGTGCTTTGGCCTGGATCAGTTAGTTCCTGTGGTTGGAAACATGAACTCTGTGATGTATGTGTACATTCTTGACAATGCTGCACTCTCAGTTCTATGGCAATATTTCGGGTAAGGCCCATTTCTCTACCAGCTGGATAACTGCTCCATTCACACATCGAGGCTTGCACAGACGTGATTTGACGAAATGGGTGTTCAAAAACTGGACTGGCCTTCTCAAGAGCCCATATCTAAATCCCATAGAACACCTATGGGACGAATTAGAGCACAGATTACGTTGCCACGCAAATCGACCATCGTCACTGCAAGCACCCATTTCAGCTGTGATGGAAGCCTGGAAGTCAATTCCTATGGCCACCTATCAAAAACTAGTGGAAAGTCTTCCAAACCTTGTGCAAGTTGTCATCGATGCAAAAGGGTGACCAACATCATATTAATATGTGCCTCAGGGCAGTCCTTACCACTGGGTGTCTGGATACTTTTGGCCAAACAATATATATATATAAATAAGGAGAGTACTAATCAAATGTTCAAAAATCTAAAATGAAACCTTATTATAGTAAATAATAATGCACAATCATGTGCACAATAATTTCTTACCTTCTGTGCTAAGACCAGGATAAGAAGTAAATTTTGCAACATCTACAATTTTTACAGCGAACTGTTGACCCGTAGTTTTATGAATACAACGACGAACTAAGCTAAAAGGACCCCTGTAAAAAATAACTTAATTTAAAACTTATTCTAAGTATTGAAAAACAGTGTGAATCAAACTTTTGCTAATTCAAAACATGTAGCATTTCTCTTTCAAGTTAAAATCAATATTTACTAATTATTTATAAACTTAAAATTAAACTTAATTAATAATAAAATAAATTATTATTTAAATTGATTTGAGTATGTACTTAAAAGGATAAAGAAAATTAAAAGGGCAAAACGACAAACTAAAAAAAAAAGTATAATTTGCTCTACTTAAGTATAATAAAGGCAAATTTTTCTGGAAAAGAATAATAAAATATACTATTTTTAATTTTAGAATCACTTTATTCAACGGAATGTTTAACAGTTTTCAGTCAAACAACAACTCATGAAAGTTGGAGAATTTATAATTGAATGAAATTAATAGATAAAAAATTTTTTATAGTACTGCTGCATTAAAAAAAAACAAGTACCAATAAGTAAACATTCTCAGCAACCTATATTTAATTAAAATTTGTAATCAAGTTCAAGTTTTTTTTAATCTAGCAATTTTAAGTTATGGTTCCAATAAACTCAAAACGAAAACGCAATGAATATACTCCTAGATATTTAAGAACATAAGTAACTTCATGGATGATCCCTTAAATTTCAATTTAAAAGTTTCATGATATAATTACTGGATCGTTGGTTTGAGTCAATTATCTTTAGAATAAGATGAAAAATGAATCAATAATTGTGAATTTACAAAACTCCAAACTACAAGATTTGTTGCCTTTTTTTGAAAAAATAAAGATGCATATGACCCCCTGAATTCTTAGTCACAAAAATTTGATAATATAAAACTGTTAAGTGAGTATCTAATTCACAAAATGACTGAATTCCTTGAAAATTTGAGACAATGAATCCTGCGGGTAAGGCTATATGCCTGAACCAATATATGTTATAAGTAGATAATTTTAGCTTTGAACTATCGAATTGTGCGATTTTCGACGGCATTATTAATTAAAATAAAAATTGGGCGAAACTTTAAATCTTTTGATACTTCAAATCTTATTTTTTAAAATATACATTTCTATTCGTGGAAAATAAAATGTTCTGAACCCACACACAAAATCAAGAATATCTGAACAAAAGCTAAAAATCAGGACAAATAAGGACTCAATATTTTAATCATGAAAATCAGGAGAACTATGAACCTTGCAAAAATAAACAATTCAAATAATAATAAAATAATAATAAAATGCATCAAATAATAATAAAATGCAATGAAATTAAATACTCTAAAATAAATTAAAAATTTATGCCTGTATAAGAAATTCGATGAAAGAAATTTTTAACTAACGAAGGTAATAAATAACAAAATAACAAGCCGCTGAAGTTTTTGGCTTACTCATATAAATAAAGAGATAAAAGTAAATGATAAGACCTCGAAAATTGGCCAGAAATTTTTAAGTCAAAAGTAAAGATCTTACCAGCGAGGGAACAAGCCAAAACACATTTTTAATTGGTGCCAAACCAGGACGTAACTACCCCCCCCCCCCGATGGTAAAAAGGATGAACCACATCACATTTTTTCAAAATTAAGTTTCTCTTTTTTTTATAGGAAAGAAATTGTGTAAAGAATTGAAAGAATTGCAGAATATTTTTCTTTCTTGTGATTGCATATCTACTTTAACATAAAGGGAGGGTCAAAAACTTTGAAAAAACCTTTTACGAGAATTATACCCCCCACCCCACCCCTCAAAAGAACAAATGGTCCCCATAGTTTGGTCAGGAGAGCGATACAAAGTTTGTTAATTTTACTTTTTGCGTATTTCACTATATCTCGAGAAATTTTTAAGAGAATCGAAAAAAAATTTCACACAATTAAAAATTTGTTTATCCAAAGATAATTCCATGCAAAAAATAAATTGTAGTTAATATTTATTATTTTTCATTATTTTATTTAATAACAGTCGAAAAAAATTTGAATAGTAAGGTATACAATTTTTTACATAATTTTAAAGTAATTTTACATGGCGAAATACAAAGTTTGAGCAAAATCAGTTAAATAAGTCCTGAGAAATCAAATTTTGAAAAAAGTCGTATTTTTTAAATTCGATTTCTCAGGTCCAAACTTTGGATCGCTTTCCTGGCTAAACTATGGGGACCATATTTCCAAGATTGCGGCCACCCCCTAATATTTTGGGTTTAGAAATACGCATCCGTCGAAAAAAAAGGTATGTTTAATTCAGAGAATGTGCGTTTTTGTGTCTGATTTTGTAACTTAAAATATCTTCTGCACTAATCAATTAGCATATTTGAGTTGACCCTCACGAACCATTAAGATGGAGTCCTGGGACCGAAATATCCGATCATTAGATCAAAAGTTATTCAGGGTGGTCCGTTTTTTTCCCCGCACTGTATAGTGCGGAAAAAAAATTTAAAAAAAGCAGACCACCCTTTATATCCTTTGATCTAACGATCTTCAGGTTCTAGGACTTCATCGTATTAGTTCGAGAGGGTGACCTCAAACAAGCTAATTAATTGGTGCAGACGATATTTTAAGTTACGAAATCAGACACAAAAAAATACTTTCTCTGAATAAACATAATTTTTCACCGGATTCGATTTTCCAACTAGGGTGTAGCCGCAATCAGGAAAATATTATCCCAAATTATTTGGTCAGGAGAGCGATCCAAAATTTGGACCCTCTAATGTTAATTTTATTTATTACGTATTTCGCCATATCTCGAGAACTTTTTAAGCAAATGTAAAACAATTTCGCACACAATTATATAATTCGCTTTCCAAAGATAATTTAATGCAAAAAATAACTTTAATTAAATATATATTATGATTTGTTATTTTATTTAATAATAGTCGAAAAAATTATTTGAGGAGTTCGATGGAGCAGGATCGATTGAATGAACTTGCTCTATTGTCTATTGAAAATGAACAACCACGAAATAGTGACTTTAACACTATAATCGATGTAATTCGAGGCAAAAAGGCCTGGAGAAATAAATTTTAGAATAATATATAAATTTCCTCAAAATTTTTTATTTCAAATTAATAAAAAAATTCTTCATAAAGATGTATACTAGGCCAGGGATGGCGAACCAATGGCACGCGCGCCATTTATGGCACGAGACACAAAATTTTGGGCACGCCACAGATCACAATTGTTATTACACAAATGTTATTACACTATGAAGCATATGTAACAGCTAAATTAAAATTAAAAAAAATAAGCAAAATAATAAACAATTAATAAAAAAATTAACTATTAATGCTAAAAAAACAATTAATAACCATAAAAAACAAGCTAACTATAAATAACTAGCAAAAAAAAATTAACAATCCTGCTTAAACTAACATCTTACAACCTAATATAAGTTATTTGTCATCTAATCTGCAACAACAGAAGTCATACTGATGTTACTTTATGTTGTTTTAAGACATGGCAAAGAACAACATAAGAATTTTTCAATGCAGACCACCAATGCAAATAAAGAACTAAGAATTCTTTATTTGCATTGAAAAAATAAAGAATTTTTCAATGTCTTAAAACAACATAAGAATTTTTCAATGTCTTATGTTGTTTTAAGACATTGAAAAATTCTTTATTTTTTCAATGCAAATAAAGAATTTTTAGTTTATAGTATTTAGTATTATTATCTTCCCAATAATCACGAAGTCAAAATTATTTGACGGCACGTCTATGACCTCATTAAACAATTTTTTAGAAACATTGGCACGTTGGTGTATAAAGGTTCGCCACCCCAATACTAGGCAATTTAAAAATTGCTCTGATTTTATTATTAGTTTATATTAATTAACAACAGATTAGCTATTTTTTTCAAATTATTGATGAATTTATATTTTGTACTAATTGTAGACATGAATTTTATAACTTGTTTTATTTTATATAAATGAAATGTTTTTTCACGGTTTTACTTTAAATATTTTACAAAACCTGAAACTAACCTAAATTTTTAAATATTAAATCTTTATTTAGAAATTTATTTTAATGCAACCTGATATATTACCTTTCTCAACAAACTGAAGTTTATAAATCCATCGACCAAACTAGAACCAATAAATACGTTTAAAAATCCTCATTTTAAATATGTGTTTTGTAATTATTTTTTAGGTGTCCAGAAGTTTTATACACTTATATGTGTTTTGTAACCAAAAAGGAATTTTTTTAATCTGTCAACATTTTATATTCTAGTGTTAAATTTAAAACTTACAATATTCTGTAGTCCCATTTATATGTGAACAAGCAACTTATTTCTATAAATATATTTGATAATATGATACATAAATTGTTAAAATGACGATTAGAGATGGAGTACGGAAAGTTTTAGAAATGGCCCAGGCCAAAAATTTGGGCCAAACAAGCACGAAAATTTCCTAAAAAAATTAAAGTTAGAGAGGGGAAGAGCTAGAGAGCTTTCTGTTTTTGAAAGGTATTCCTATGAGACTTATTAAAAATAAGCAAAAAGATTTTTAAGATATGTAACCTGTTATGCATGTTAAGAATACCGCTGAAATTGAAGCGAGCACTGCCTCATATTTTATTCAACAACTGAACTTCAGAGACTAAACGAATATTTCTTAAATAAAGTTGAATTTCTACACTAGAACCAAAAGGATAACGAAGAGTGCAGAAAATTCATGAATATGTATTAGGCAACTATTGTTTCATAATTAAAATATGAAAGGTACCGGAAGGGAGCGCCACAATAGTACAGATGAGGGCTCAAAAAGTCGCAAAATTTTTACATCCTTACATGAATCTTTTACAAACCCGAACATCTTTTCTTATTTCAATGTTACTATTATTAGTCTGTCAAAAAATTCGCTTAACATCGACACTTTTATTTTAACCATAAATCAGAAGTATTTTCAACGAAGAAGTATTAAATATTATTAAAAAGAAAATATTAAGTATTGATAGAGAAATTACAGAGCAAAACTATTAACAAATTATTAACAAAATAATTTTATCAAATTATTAGTAGCGATC